AAAAAAAGGTTGAGAATTTAGAGGGTTAAAATGTTGTGGGGTTGTTAACCAATGTCATAAAACAACATGTGTACTACTGTTTCATGAGCAACTATTTGTTCTGTAAGCCTTCACCAGAAGTACAATAAAATATTAAAAAAAAAAAAGAATCTCATATAGTAGAGGATTCAAGCAATAAAACCAGCGAATGCAATAGAGGAAGACAAACATAAACCTGGAATGCTCAAGGGGCACACAAGAGGGATACCCAATCAATCTTGGAGGTTCAGAGACTTTCTGGAGGAATCCATGTCTAAGCTGAATTCTAACAGAGGAGTAGGTATGGAGAAAGAGAGAAAGGCCAGAGAAAGCCTTCCAGGAAGAGGGAACAATATGTACCAAAGGCTTGAAGAGAGTTGAGCAAGTAATTTAGTAGAGCTGGAGGAGTGGAAACAGACTGGACTGGGAAGATAATGGGAGACAGATGATGGATCATGTAAAACAATGATTCTCAAGGGGGGAAGGAACCAGAAAGGAGGGTTTTGTCCCACAAGAGAGATTTGCAATGTCTGAAGACATTTGTGGTTGTCACAACTGGAGGAGTTCTACTGGCACCTAGTGGGCAGTAGCCAAGGAGATGCTGTTAAACATCCTACAATGCATAGGGCAGCATCCCACAACAAAGAATTATCTGGTCCAAAATGTTGGTAGTGCTGAGGTTGAGAAACCTGATATAAAGCAAGAGTCACTAAAAGTTTTTAAGTAGCCTAACTGGATTAAGCTTTAAATGTTCATTCTTGCTGGAAATGGGATTAAAACACAGTAAGACTAGATGAATTAGGAATATATAGCTAGGTAAGAAGATGATGCTGGCCTGGGGCTATAGTAGGGACAGTGTGCACAGAGTGAAGTAGAGAGATTTGCGGTATTAGGAAAGTAGAACATGCCAAACTTAGTACTAAGAGTTTATCAATCATCAATGGTTGAAAGTGTGGGATTTGTAGGACTTTCATAAATTATGGGGTAACTGCTATGGGACTTGTCTTCCTCCTGTAAACAAATAGAAAACTAGATAAAATATGTGAAACAACAGTTTTTCAGGCACTGGACAACAGTAGTACAGGAATGGTTTCCTGAGAGAAAGAAAACAAATGAGATAAGCCCTACAATTTTCTCAGTTTTCTACTTGGAAGTATTTCTCTGAACCATGGTGCAGGGAAAGAAAACTCAAACAGGAGGAGACAAAGATCAGAGTTTTCGAAGGACAAGAGTTTTTAAATTTGCAAGGCAGAATATCAGAGAGGAGGGAGGAATGCAGCAGAAGAGCTTTAGAATCTAGATAGAAGTTCCCCTGGATTTATGATTGAATACCAATCTGAACATGTGTAAGGAGAAACTCAACCAGACTGGAGAAGAAACAACTTGAAAAACAATTACAAGAGAAAAAACAATTACCAAAGATACGTAAATCCTCAATTCCCAGAGTTCACACAGGACTGGGATTCATTTAATTTCCCACCATTCAGAACGGAGAAACCTCATCAGACACACAGGCCATTCAGTAGAGTTGTCCTTTAGGATCAATGAATGTCTTAGTAGCAGAGCTAAACTAGCCATAAAGAATACTCTAGACCTCCCCACCCCTTTAAAAATGTTAAAAGCAAGCTTTGAAAGGATCAATTTGATCTACAAATAACTCACTGCCGGAATAAAATCCAACAGTTTCTAACAAAATACATCAAAATCCAGCACTCAAGAGTATAATCACAATGTCCAGCATCCAAAAAACTGAGAAATGTGACTTATAAGCAGGGTAAAAATCAGTCCATAAAAACAGGCCCAGAAATGATAGTATGAAATTAATACACAAGGAGTTTAAGAAAGTTTGAACAGAGCTTAGCAAGTAATGAAGAGATCTTAGCAAGTAATTTACCAGAGCTGGAGCAGAGGTGGAGGAGTAGAAATAGACTGGACTGCAGAGATAATGGGTGACAGATCATGGATCATGTAAAACAATGATTCTCAAGGGGAGAGGAACCAGAGAGGAAGGTTTTGTCACCCAGGAGACATTTGCAATGTCTATATGCTTGATTTTCAGGAGCCCTGGTAGTGCAGTGGTTAAAGTTCTTGGCTGCTAACTAAAAGGTCAGCGGTTCAAACCCACCAGCTGCTGTATGGGAGAAAGATGTGGCAGTCTGCTTCCATAAAGATTACATCCTTGGAAACCCTATGGGGCAATTCTGCTCTGTCTTTCAGGGTTGCTATGACTCAATGACAATGGGTTTGGCTTTTTTTTTTTTTGCTTATATGCTTGATTTAAAGGAAAAGATGAATACAATGAGAAGATAAAGCAAAGATATAAAATAGATTCAACTCCTAGAGAGGAAAAAAAAGATCTAAAATCATTATTTCATCTGATAGAATTAGCAGCAGATTAAACATTGAAGAAGAAAAGCAGTAAACTTGTAGAAACTGTCTTACAGTTCTCCACAGGAACAGAACCAACAAGACTAGAGAGAGAGATATAGATAGACAGACAGACACATATATAGAGAGGTATTAAAGTAACTGTGATTGTAGGGGCTGGCAAGTCCAAAATCCATAGGTCAGGCAACAGGCTAGAAATTCCAGTCTTGTGTCCCAAAATCAGTAAGCTAGGCAGTGGGGGGAGGAATTCCAGCAGGATGTCTATTTATAATTTTGAGGCAAAAATTTTCTCTCTTGAGAAACCTCAGTTTTGTTTTTAAGGACTTCTACTGATTGGATAAGGCCCACCCATAATATGGCAAATAATCTGCTTTATTTTAAAGTCAACTGATTTAAATGCTAATCACATATAAATACCTTCACGGCAACAGCTAGACTAGTGTCGAACCAAAAAAAAAAAAAAAAGGCACCATAGCCTAATCAAGTTGAGACAGAATTAACCAACGCATTATCTAAAATGAAGCATGGAAAGAAAAAAACTGAATAAAATGACCAATCTCAATGATCTATGGGGCAATATCAAGCAGTCTAAAATACAAGTAACAGGAGTCAGAGAAAAAGAAAAGAAGGGATACAGAAAAAATATTTGATGAAAAAATGGCTGAAAAACTTCCAAATTTGATGAAAAGTAGAAAACCACAGATTCAAGAGGCTCAGTGGATCTCAAATCAAGATAAGCATAAAGAAAACCACACCAAATCACATCAAAAATCAGATTGTCAGTGATAAAGAGAACAATCCTGAAAGTAGCTAGAGAAAAGAAGACACATTTGGTAAAGAGGAACAAAGATAAGGATGTCCACAGACTTCTCATCAAAAGCCAGCAAACCAGAAGACAATTTTAAAGCTGTCAACTACGAATTCTATACTCATTGAAATTATCTTTTGTAAAAATGAAGGTGAAATACATTAATTTCTCCCACAAACCAAAGCTGAGAGAATCTGCTGAGAGCAGCGCTGCACTGCACGATACGGTACAAGAAATTTTTCAGGTGGATGGAAAGTGAGAGCAAATAAAAACAGAACTGTACAAAGGAGTGAAAAATGCCAGCACAGAAATGTGTGAGTAAATAAAAATATTTTTCCAATTTTAAAATTTCTGTAAAAGCTACTTATTTAAAACAAAAACAATAATGTACTATGTATGTAGACCTAGTGGCACAGTGGTTAAGAGCTCCGCTGCTAACCAAAAGGTTGGCAGTTCAAATCCACCAGCCACTCCTTGGAAACTCTATGGGGCAGTTCTACTCTGTCTTACAGGGTTGCTATGAGTCAGAATTGACTTGATGGCAATGGGTTTGGTTTTCGGTTTATGTATGTAGAAGTAAAATGTGTAACCCCAACAGCACAAAGGAGAGGGAAAGTATACTGTTGTAAGGCTCTTACATTATACATGAAGTGGTATAATATTATTGAAAGGTAGATTGTGATTAGTTAAAGATGTGTATTTTAAGGCCTAAAGCAGGGGTTAGAAAATTTTTTTCACTTACGTACATTACTCTTTCTCAGTTCATAGAGATCTTCATTCATTTTTATAGCTAGCTAGTAAATCATCTTGTGAATGTATCTTATTTTACTCAACCAGTTTCCTATGGATGTACATTAAGCTTTTTTCTAATATTTTGCTATTACAAAGTGATACAGTGTGTAACTTTATGCATATGTTGTTTCACATGTGGTGGTGTTGTCTTCTCATTAAATTCCCAGAAGTTGAATCACTGAATCAAAGGGTAAATGCCTATGCAGTTTTGGTAGATATTGCCAAATCTCCCTCCATAGCAGTTGCAACATTTTGCACTCCTAGCAGCAATATATGAGTACCCCACAACCTCATCAACAGTGTCAAGATTCTGAATTTTTGCTAGTTTGATATGTGACAAATGGTATCTCAAAAGGCTTTCATTTGTATTTCTCTAATTATGAGTACCACTGTTTTATAACATATAATTATTCAAAAAAAACCAGCAATGCTTCTACAATAAGTTGAATACTAAAAATTAAAATTCTAGTTCTTTACAACAGAATGTAATTCTCTGATTGCTCAGAAGACCTTTTAGGATGATCTTTGATCACTGTTTGAATATCAATTACTATAAAATTGGTAAACATGTGATTCAGTTAATCAAGATATTTGGTCAACAGAATGCAGATAAATTTTTTTTAACGTATAATCAAGTGTCAGGAGAACAGAATAATCATACAACTTAGTTAAGAGCAAAGTCAGGCTACATTGGGTATGCTGAACAGGTAGTATGTATGAATTAGACCTTTAGGCATTGAACGTAATACATGGATGCACTAAGTCTTTACATGTTTCAAGTTTTTGTGATAAAAATGTTTTCCTTTTAGTCTGGAGAAAAATGGAGGACCATCTATAACTCCCGTCTTTAAAAAAGGTAACTGATTTTTCTTTAATTTCTGGGGTCCCTTCTAGTTCCGATATTTTAAAATTCTATGCTCCATTTCTAAAAATTCAAAATATTGAAGCCACCAAAAAAATGTATCTGTGAACTTTTGCTTCTGTAATTCCATCTCTCTAGAATAACTTCCCATTTACAAGCCTATGTTAATCATTTCTTTTAAGGCCTTCCCTACTAACATCACTTGACAGAGAACCCTCTCTTACTTTGCTTTTTCTTACAAGTCATGCATAGAAATAACTCATTATTTAATTGACATGTATGTTCTAGGAAATGTGTTCTAGCCATCATACTGTTTCATGTACAACTTATCTATTATAAACTCTTCAGGCAGAACCATTTTTTCCATTGATTCTCTACACTTTTGTACATGGTTTGCAAATGACTGCTCAGTAATCTAGGCCTGCAAAGATCAGTATCTAGATGTTATAATGCCACTCATCCTTTCCTATTAGACATGAAAGAGGGAAAATAAATTGCTTATTGATTTCAAGTACATGCTTAGTGTTTACTCATGTGTTTACTGTATGAGCAAAATCAGTCTTAGTTGGTATACTGTCCTATAGTCAAAATAAAGGATAGAATCATTCAAATGTCAAAATCAATTTGCTGGAGTCACGAATGGAAAGGGAGGGAATAAGGAAATAGTAAAAGGAAAGAACTTCGTTTACTCAGGGAGTAACTGAGGGAAGCTAGGTTATGTGTGGCAGGCTATATTTCTCAGTATCATGGGTAGGAGAATGTCTGTTTGTTCATATGACTTCTTCAGTGTGAGAGTAATTCACACACACACACAAAATAAAGTCAGTCCGCTTTTTCTTCACTTTAATATTGGTTTCTAAACAACAATTTGTGTACCAGTACCAGTCTGATGAAGTTTTCACTCGTTTGTGAAAAGTAAGAATAAACAAGGACAACATACCAAGCTTCTGATAAAATTAATTTCATTCAATGTAAAGTCCATCATTTTGGGATAATGCCTTTTCTACTTTCTTGTGGTGTTAAATATCCCCTTTTACAAACTGAACTTTAAAATAGTTGGTATTTGTTCTTTCATTAGTGCCAACTTGGCATAATAAAAAGTTGGCACCCATATAATGGTCCTCACAAATTTTTAGTTTCTGAAAACTGAAAGTCTGGAATCTACTGACCTGTTCTCTTAGTATGGTTTAACAAGGTAAAGAAAACAAAACAATGTAGAACTATAAGTAATGGGACTACAGCTAGGGTGTTGAGGCTTAAGAAAGAGAAACTTAATCGTGGCTCTCTTATTTTTAGGAAAAGAACACCGAAGAAAATCAAAACCTAAAATTCAACCAAAAGATTCTTTGACTTTAATGCCTCCTGTAACTAACTTCATGGGACTCTTCAGAACGACAAAAAAGACCATTGCTTCTCATAATATTTTTTCTTTTTCATCTTCATCTTCATCAGATATTATAAAAGTTTCAAGACCAAGAATAGTGGTTTTGAGCCAACTTGGGAAATATATACAGAAAGCAAACCCGGAGCCTCCAGAAGCCTTATAAAAGCATTTAGTATGAAAGTATTCCTGAGCAATCTTTTAAATGGAAGTTTCAGTATTGATACTAAACAGATTTTCCTTAGCATATCTACTGGAATTTAACATCGGTCAGAAATTATGGTTTCAAAAAATAAGTAGAATTTTCTATAATAGAATGCCTACATTTAAATCTTTTAAAATTTATTAACTGATACAGGTGGTATAACTAAACCACTGCGCCACCAGGGCTCCTAAAATATACATGTAAAAATGGCTTAGGGGCAGTGTCTGACCTCCTCCAACCCCACAAGGAGGAAAGAGAACCAGGATCAACAACCCAAGGCTGATTCCTATCAGGTGGAGGCCAGGCAAGCTTCCTCTCTCCACCATCTTTACTAAGTCTGATACCAACCATCCCTCCCACAGCACTCTCTACTGGGTTTGATGATTCATTGCAACAGCCACACAGAACTCACAGGCCATATTTATGATTATGGGGTTTATCAGGGAAGTAACAATTACAATTCAGGCTCAGAAACACTCAGGATACAGTTTTTCCATCAGGACAGCCTCTCCCCAGCTGTGTTCACAGGCACGCCTCTCCCTGGCCCTTAGCGCTGCCCAAAGGCACTCAGCTTCCCCTCTCCATGGGCCAGGAAGCCCACTGCACCATCTCCTGCTGCCAGGTCTCTCCTGCCAGCACTTCTCACCATCTTCAGAGTTACAGCTTGCTCTCTCTCTTGCTTCCAGGAGCTTCTCAGTGCAGGGATCCTGGGTCCAAAGGATGCACTCTCTGCTTCTGGCTGTTCTTTCTTGGTGGTGGTAGGATCCTCCTCTCTGCTCTTAAATTGGCTCTCAAGGCAAAACTGACCAATCCCCTTGGTAGGCCACAATTACCCTATCACACAGTCCTACCCAATCATCTGGGTGGGAGTTACAAAATCATGCTAGAAAAGCCACACGCAAAAGTAATTAATCCACTGCAATGTATGTGTGTGTGTGTATCAAGTGTTGGCAACATTTTAAAGTTGGTATGCTGGGCTAAAGAGGTCTGGTTCACTTTAACATTCATTGTAATGCCTGTTGTTGTTAGGTGCCGTTGAGCTGGTTCCAACTCACATTGACCCTATGTACAAAAGAAAAAAACACTGCCTGGTCCTGCCCTATCCTTACAATCACTGCCATGCTAGAGCCTATTGTTGGCAGCCACTATGTCAATCCAGCTCATTGAGGGTCTTCCTCTCGTTGACCCTCTACTTTACCAAGCATGATGTCTTTCTCCAGGGAGTGGTTCCTCTGGATAACGTGTTCAAAGTATGTGAGACGAAGTCTTGCCACCATTGCTTCTAAGGAGCATTGTGGCGGTACTTCTTCCAAGACAGATTTGTTTGTTCTTCTGGCAGTCCATGGTATATTCAATATTCTTCGCCAACACCACAATTCAAAGGCATCAGTTGACTCTTCATTCTTCTTTATTCATTGTCCAGCTTTCGCATGCATATGAGGTGACTGAAAATACCATGGCTTGGCTCAGGCACACCTTAGTCCACAAGGTAACATCTTTGCTTTTTAATATTTTAAAGGGGTCTTTTGCAGCAGATTTGCCGAGTGCAATACGTCATGTGATTCCTTGATTGCTGCTTCCATAGGCACTGATTGTGGATCCAAGTAAAATGAAATCCTTGACAACTTCAGTATTTTCTTTATTTATCATGTTGCTTATTGGATCAGTTGTGAGGATTTTTGTTTTATATTAAGCTGTAATCCATACTAAAAGCTGTAGTCTTAAATCTTCGTCAGTGAGTGCTTCAAGTCCTCTTTGCTTTCAGCAAGCAAGATTGTGTCATCTGCATATGGCGGGTTATTAATGAGTCTTCCTCCAATCCTGATGCCATATTCTTCTTCATATAGTCCAGCTTCTGGGATTATCTGTTTAACATACAGATTTAATAAGTGTGTTATAAGGATACAACCTTGATGCACACTTTTCCTGACTTTAAACCAGGAAGAATCCCCCTTGTTCTGTTCAAACGATTGCCTCTTAGTCTATGTACAGGCTTCTCATGAACACCATTAAGTATTCTGGAATTCCCATTCTTTGCAACGTGATCTATAATTTGTTATGATCCACACAAAGCCTAGAGATATTTAATGAGAAATAGTATAAATGCATGAGACTTCTAAAACCTGAGATGTGTACCTTTAAGGCATTTTATTTAAAAATAAAATCTGAATTCACTGACCACAAAGTACACAAATATGGCTAAAAATGTGGCCACTGGTGTTTATTCATCTCCATACTTACAGGGAGTGTTTTTGGTTTTGGGTGATAGTCTTTAGGGCTTAGAACCACAATATTCTTGATGTTTTTGCCCAAAGAGCATTCTGTTTCCAGTAAGTATAAGTTTTAGTGATGTCTGCTGATCATATTTTACAGCAACAGATGGATATAATACAAAAAGCAAGCTGGGTTTCAGTATGTCCTTTAAAGAAGGCCCTTTCCTCTGTCTACTTTGCTCAATTGCCGCGCATGCCTTAACAATAATGATGATGATGATAATGGTAACTGCGTGTACTTAAGGTTTTTTAGGTAGCAGACTCAAAAGCCTGTGGTCTTAACCACTGCACAACAGGAGAAATATTTAATCTTCACATTTAATTCTAAATTATCTTAATGGCTCTGAGACACAACTTTCTGGTGGATGGAGCTAAAAACAGGAATTGTAGGGAGGAAAAGTCATATTTTATACTAGGAGGGATAACTAATTCAAATGGTAAGAAACTGTGCCATTTATTCAGCACGATTAGGATAAGAATTCATATCAACAAAAATATTAAGCGTCTATAGATGAAACCCCCCCCCCCACATCTGTCAGTCTGTCATACTGTGGGGGCTTGCATGTTGCTGTGATGCTGGAAGCTATGCCACTGGTATTCAAATACCAGCAGAGTCACCCATGGTGGACCAGTTTCAGTGGAGCCTTGAGACTAAGATAGACTAGGAAGAAGGGCCTGGCAGTCTACTTATGAAAAAAATTAGCCAATGAAAACCTTATGAATAGCAGCAGAGCATTATCTGATATAGTGCTGGAAGATGAGCCCCTCAGGTTGGAAGGCACTCGTAAGACAACTGGGGAAGAGCTGCCTTCTCAAAGTAGAGTTGACCTTAATGACATGGATGGAGTCAAGCTTTAGGGACCTTCATTTGCTGATGCAGCATGACTCAAAATGAGAAAAAACAGCTGTAAACACCCATTAATAATCAGAACATGGAAGGTATGAACTTAGGAAAAGAGGAAATCATCAAAAACGAAATTGAACTCATAAACATCGGTATCTTAGGCATTATTAAGCTGAAATGGATTGAAATGGCCATTTTGAATTGAACACTCCTATAGTCTGCGATGCTGGGAATGACAAATTGAAGAGAAATGGCGTTGCACTCATCATCAAAAAGAACATTTCAAGATCTATCCTGAAGTACAACGCTGTTAGTGATAGGATAGTATCCATATGCCAACAAAGAAGAAAGGTAATATGACTATTATTCAAATTTATGCACCAACCACTAAGGCCAAAGATGAAGAAAATGAAGATTTTTACCAACGTCTACAGTCTCGAATTGATCAAACATGCAATCAAGACACACTGATAATTACTAATGACTGGAATGCGAAAGCTGGAGACGAAGGATCTGTAGTTGGAAAATACGGTCTTGGTGATAGAAACTGCTGGCGATCGATCACATGATAGAATTTTGCAAGACCAACAACTTCTTCATTGCAAATACCTCTTATCAACAACATAAATGACGACTATATACATGCACCTCACTGGATGGAATACACAGGAATCAAATCGACTACATCTGTGGAAACAGATGATGGAGAAGCTCAATATTATCGGTCAGAACAAGGCTAGAGGCTGACTGCAGAACAGACCATCAATTGCTCATATGCAAGTTCAAGCTGAAGCTGAAGAAAATTAGAACAAGTCTATGAGAGCCAAAATATGACCTTAAGTATATCCCATCTGAATTTAGAGACCATCTCAAGAACAGATTTGACATATTGAACTCTAATGACCAAAGACCAGATGAGCTGTGGAATGACATCAAGGACATCATACATGAAGAAAGCCAAGTAGTCATTAAAATGACAGGAAAGAAAGAAAAGATCTAAATGGATGTCAGAAGAGACCCTGAAACTTGCTCTTGAACATTGAGTAGCTAAAGCAAAAGGAAGAAATGATGAAGTAAAAGAGCTGAACAGAAGGTTTCAAAGGGGGGGCTCAAGAAGACAAAGCAAAGTATTATAATGACATGTGCAAAGACCTGGAGTTAGAAAACCAAAAGGGAAGAACACATTTGGCATTTCTTAAGCTGAAAGAACTGAAGAAAAATTCAGTCCTTGAGTTGCAATAGTGAAGGATTCTACAGGCAAAATACTGAATGACGCGAGAAGCATCAAAAGAAGATGGAAGGAATACACAGAGTCACTGTACCAAAAGGAACTGGTTGACAATCATTTCAGGACATAGCAAATGATCAAGAACTGATGGTACGAAGGAAGAAGTCTAAGCTGCACTGAAAACACTGGCGAAAAACAAGGCTCCGGAAATTGACAGAATACCAATGAGATGTTTCAACAAATAGATGCAGTGCTAGAAGTGCTCACTTGTCTATGCCAAGAAATTTGGAAGACAGCTAACCTTGCCAACCAACTGGAAGAGATCCATATTTATGCCTATTCCAAAGAAAGGTGATCTAACAGAATGCAGAAATTATCAAACGATATCATTAATATCACACACAAGTAAAATTTTGCTGCAGATCATTCAAAAGCGTTGCAGGTGACAGGGAACTGCCAGAAATTCAAGTGGGATTCAGAAGCAGATGCATAATGAGGGATATCATTGCTGATAACAGATGAATCCTGGCTAAAACCAGAAAGATGCTTACCTGTGTTTTATTGACTATGTTAAGGCATTCGACTGTGTGGATCATAACAAATTATGGATAACACTGTGAAGAATGGGAATTTCAGAACACTTAATTGTGCTCATAAGGAACCTCTACATAGACTAAGAGGCAGTCATTCGAACAGAACGAGGGGATACCAAGTGGTTTAAATTCAGGAGAGGTGTCCATTAGAGTTATATCCTTTCACCATACTTGTTCAATCTGTATCCTGACAAATAATCCAAGAAGCTGGACTATATGAAGAAGAATATGGCATCAGAATTTGAGGAGGACTCATTAATAACCTGCAATATGCAGATGACACAACCTTGCTTGCTGAAAGTAAAGAGGATGTGAAGCACTTACTGATGAAGATCAAAGACTGCAGCCTTCAGCATAGATTACACCTCAACATAAAGAAAACAAAAATCCTCACTACTGGACCAATAAGCAACATCACGATAAACGGAGAAAAGATTGAAACTGTCAAGGATTTTGTTTTCCTTGGATCCACAATCAACACCCATGGAAGCAGCAGTCACAAAAACAAATGGCGTATTGCACTGGGCCAGTCTGCTGCAAAAGACCTCTTTAAAGTGTTAAAAAGCAAAGATGTCACTTTAAGGACTAATGTGCGCCTAGCCCAAGCTATGGTGTTTTCAATTACCTCACAGGCATGTGAAAGCTGTGCAGTGAATAAAGAAGACCTAAGAATTGATGCCTTTGAATTACGGTGTTGGCAAAAGAATACTAAATATACTATGCACCGCCAAAAAGAATTAACAAATCTATCTTGGAAGAAGTACAGCCAGAATGCTCCTTAGAAGCAAAAATGGCGAGAGTTCCTCTCACATACTTTGGGCATGTTATCAGGAGGAATCAGTCCCTGGAGAAGGACATTATGCTTGGTAAAGTAGAGGTTCAGCGAAAAGGAGGAAGACCCTCAACGAGATGGATTGACAGAGCGGCTCCAGCAATGGGCTCTATCATAACAATGATCATGAGGATGGCGCAGGACCGGGTATTGTTTTGTTCTGTTTACACAGGATCACCATGAGCTAGAAACTACTCGATGGCACTAACATCAACAGATGTGAAAAAAAAACCTTTAGACAGCAACCTTTGAAACTGACTTCAGGTGGGCTAAAGACTGTATTTTAAGACTATTTTCAGTGATGGGGATCAAAGTTTCTTTGCGTTCAATAACATAGACATTTACTGGGCATCTTGGCCTAGGCAGAACCATCCTACTACTCCTAAAACTTTCAGTATATCTCCTAAAAGTTCGAGTACAGCCACTCCTCTTCACCGTAAGAATTATTTAATTACTGTGTTTTCTTTTTATTATTAACATCATGTGTTAGATGAGAAAGGCCTCAAGTTATAGAGGGTTTCAGCAATTTACCTGCCTTTGTGGGACTATAAGCTCATTTTGGTACATACGACGGCCAATATAGAGTTTAGTACTTCTTCCCTTTTCATTTCCTTCTCTCTCTCTTTCTTGCCTTTTCTTTCTTCCCTTTTTTCTTTTCCCTTTCTCATGGTCAGCCAAGTATTGAAACATCTAAAGATATGAAAAGCTTCCAGAATTTGTCGATTCCCTTGATTTGTAGTTTTCTTTATTTGTATCATGAACTCAATTTTGACATTTGTGCTTGCAATAATGGTATAATTTTTATATTTTGAAATTTTAAGGACTTATAGATATCCCAGTCTTACAATATTTGTGATAAACCCATGGCCATCGAGTCGATTCCAACTCATAGCAACCCTACAGGACAGAGTAGAACTGCCCCATAGGGTTTCCAAGGAGCAGCTGGTGGATTTGAAATGCCAACCTTTTGGTGAGCAGCCATAGCTTTTAACCACTGCGCTACCAGGGCTCCACAGATTTGTGACAGTGGGAAGAAATTTTGGTAAATTTTCTTTCATCGTTGTCTTAGTCATCTAGTGCTGCTCTAACAGAAATACCGCAAGTGGATGGCTTTAACAAAGAGAAGGTTATTCTCTCACAGTCTAGTAGGCTACAAGTCCAAATTCAGGGCGTCAGCTCCAGGAGAACGCTTTCTGTGTTGGCTCTGGAGGAAGGTCTGGGTCATCAAGCTTCCCTTGGTCTGAAAGGTCCTTGTGATACATCAGTCTTCCCTTGGTCTGGGAGCATCTCAGCGCAGGAACCTCAGGTCCAAAGGATGCACTCTGCTCCTGGCACTGCTTTCTTGGTGGTATGAGGTCCCCATGTGTCTCTGCTCGCTTCTCTCTTTTATATCTCAAAAGAGACTGGATTAAGACACTATCTAATCTTGTAAACCTCATCAATATAACCTCATCACGGTGACAGCATTTACAACACATAAGGAGATCACTTATAACCTCATCACAGTGATAGAGTTTACAAAACATAAGGAAATCACATCAGATTAGACAATCATACAATACTGGGAATCACAACCCAGCCAAGCTGACAGACATTTTTGGGGGACACAATTCAATCCGTGACACTCAACCCTTTGACCCCCAAAAATTCATGTCCTCGCAACATGCAAAACATATTCATCTGATCGTATCACAGCAAAAGTCTTAACTCCAAGTCCAAATTCCAAAAATTCCTCTTCATTTCTTTGTGAAATCTAGAATACAAGCTACCTGCTTCCAAAGGTATAATGGAAGAACAGACACAAGCTAGACATTTCCATTACAAATGGGAGAAACTGGAGGAGAAGGGATAGCAGGCACCAAGCAAGTCAGCAGAACACATTACATTAGCCCTCAAGGCTTTGAAAATAATCTTCTGTTCTCTGAGACAATTTACACAATAGCCCTGCCCTCCAGACTCTAGGGATTGGCCACAGTCTCTGGATTCTGAGTGGAGGCCCCTTGGCCCTGGGCTTCAGCTCCACCTTCCAGGTTCACTGGGAAGGCAACTCTGCTCCCTTGGTTTTAGGCGCACCATTCTCCTAGTCCATTGGAGTGACAACTCCACCCTTAGAAACACCAGAGGCCATGGCTCAACCCGTTGAAGCCCCTGAGGTCATGGCCATACCTTTTGAGACTGAGGCAGCTCGGCTTCTCGTGTTCCTTCTCTCTTCAGCTTCTGCTTCCTGTGGCCTCTTGGCCCTCAGGCCTCAAGCCCATATCTGCCCTGCTGGGGCAAGTGTTCCAAAGCTCGGTAGCTCCACCGATAAGTGCCCAGAGGCATCCTACTCCACCAGGAAGGCTCCTGGGCACAGGCACTCAGCTCCCTTGCTCTGTGCGTCAGCAAGCCTAACTCCACTGATAAGTGCCTGCGCACAGGCACTCAGCTCTCTCGCTCGACGGGTCAGCTCTAGCGCCATCTCACACTGGTCTCCTGGTTCTGCTGCTGCTGGTTCTCTGCCGCTGCCGGTTCTCTGCTGCTGCTGGTCCTCTGCCACTGCCGCACCTCTATCCATTCACAGTTTCAAAAACCGCTTTCACAGTTTAGGTATCTTTTAGAGCAGCACCCCACTCTTGGTACCAAATTCTATCTTAGTCATCTAGTGCTGCTCTAACAGAAGTAACACAAGTGGATGGCTTTAACAAAGAGAAGTTTATTTTCTCACAGTCTAGTAGGCTACAAGTCCAAATTCAGGGCATCAGCTCCAGGGGAATGCTTCCTCTGTTGGCTCTGGAGGAAGGTCTGTGTCATCAAGCTTCCCTTGGTCTGAAAGGTCCTTGTGATACATCAATCTTCCCTTGGTCTGGGAGCATCTCAGCACAGGAACCTCATGTCCAAAGGATGCACTCTGCTCCCGGCACTGCTTTCTTGGTGGTATGAGGTTCCCATGTGTCTCTGCCCACTTTTCTCTTTTATATCTCAAAAGAGATTGGATAAAGACACCATCTAGTAAACCTCATCAGCATAACCTCATCACAGTGATAGAATTTACAACACATAAGGACATCACATCAGATTAGACAATCATACAATACTGGGAATCACAACCCAGCCAAGTTGACAGATATTTTTGGGGGACACAATTCAATCCATGATAATCATTTATTGTTCATTTTAATAGCCACAGGAAATATACTTCTCCGTGAATTCAGGCTCACATGATATAGAACGCAAATACAAATGTAAAATCTGAGTTCACAAACTAATAGTTTCTTTTAAATAACATTCACAAATTAATTCTATCACACCTATACCACAACTTGTTAAAATGTAAAAGAATGCAAAGCTTTATAAATATTGGCTATCTCTATATGTTCCTTCATATACAGTTATATTTTCTGTTTCTAGGATAAAATGGATGATCATAAAGCAATTCTCTATGATGACAATTCTAAAAAGGGAATTACTGATAGGATTTTCCAAAAGGGAGATCATCTTACTTGTGATTAAAATAAGAAATCTTCTCATTCTAGATTTTTATCCTTAATCCCTAGTTTATTAATAAAGGCAAGTCACTGATTAGAAGGGTAACAACTTGATCCAGTGTGGATAACTTAATATAAACCTCTCAAAGGGCCTTAAACAGTAACATCACCCTTAGATTCAAAGAACAGAACATTCAATTGCTTTAATCTAAGTAAAAAAAAATGTGATAAATTATTAATAGCAACAGGTCAAAGTTTTCGATTCAAAGAAAATTATTTTAAAAAAACCTTTTTCCTCATTTATTTTCATCTGATTAAATACAATTTTTAAAAAAATTAATGTGAATGTATGTGGTCAACTAAAAACTACAACACATACTCGAGGCATTACCTGCATGTCAAATTTTTTAAAATCTCAAATTAGAAGGATTTTAAGAAACATATAGACTTACTATCCCCTTTGCTCCAGAGGTGACAATTAAAACCATATTTTTAAATTAATAACATATATTCTATTAAAGAAAATTATCTTTTGTCTTGATTTAGAATTCTCTGATTTCACATGACCTTGACCCGGCTACTTTTCTAAAACTGCTCACTCATTATAAAGTCAGGCCCATGTTTCAGTAGGAGTCAAAAAATACCTTCTACTATCCTGATTTTGAGAAAGGGGGAAAAAGATCTAGGCCTAGATAATATAGAGCCAGGATTTAGCAGAATCACTATTTCTTCCAAGGTTTTTCTTTCTACCTGCCAACATCAATGCATTTCTTTTAACTACAAAATATTTTACTTTGGTTTTTGAATAATAAAAAAATTATACTCTTTTACAAGACTACAACATATTAATATACTCTCTCAGAAGAACAACTTAAGCATCAAACATAAGAAAAGAAATAACAAAAGAAAATCCTAATGAATAACATAACTTCTACAATTTGATATACAAAAAAATTGAGAATTTTAATGCTGAAATACTACCTTTAGAGATTTTTTGGGAAAGCAAATATCAGATCTTCATTTTTAATCACGGTACTTTTATGGCAGCTTCTCCAACTTCTTTTGATATATCTACTCCAAGAGGACATCTGCATCATAATCAGATAAATTACATTATTTCAAATATTTGCTTCATGTTTGGTCACCAATTCTGTCGACTATATTTACTTAGAATTCTGACAAATAGTGTAAGTATCTAAAGTATAATTCACTGTATGTGGTGATGCTTCTTGAATGAATACAAATACAGTGGAACCTCAAGTCAGGACAATGGGCTAAGTAAGGCCAGTCTCATTAAGAAGAAATCTAAATATTGAGATGGTTTTGAAACAAATAGTTCTGACAGTAAAAATGGCGCTCTAGGCAGAAGCACCACGCCATCCCTCCACAGCAAAGATCCGAAAAA